TCCCTAAAATCTACCCACAACTTTTACAGGGCTTATTTGTAAACTCTCAATTTAACGCTAAAATAGGAAGGGCTCTCCTGGCCAGTGGTGATCCAGGTATCATTGGCAGAAAAAACAAACAAAATTTTCTGCTCTAAGCAAGAAACATGGCTTTTGTTATGATATGCCTCTATGCCAGAAGCAATACTACAGTGTGCAGAATAAACAGAAATCACAGAAATGGTAGTCATCACTGCTCACCTTCAGAGTCAGGCTTCATAATTGCTGTGAGAGAGGTATGTGGAAACAGATTTACTGTGTCCCTCCTTGTTCCTTTGGTTAGGAATGTGTTTTCTGAAAAGTATATCCCATGGATGTCAACTTCTGATCCCAAGCCAATCAAATGCCAAGAAACTGTGTTTCCCTTACACATCTTAAGGCCAGGTTGGTTTCCATACATGTATCCATTGATGGCTACAGGAGAGTCATGAAAGGCAGAAATATCCTGATTAATGCATATAATTTATTCTGTGATGCATCTCTTCTTATTTCATGTGCCAGTCAAATTACAACGTGTCCACTCCTGACAGCAACGGTATCATTAATATCATGATTTCTCATTTTAGGACTGCAGAATCGATAAATGTAACTTTTAAGATCCATTTAAAAAAAGATAAAAAGTATTCAGCACAGTTGAATCACTTCTTTATTTGCTTGGAAATTGATTCACAATCTGTCACTTTATCAACTGTATTGGAATCTGTTCTATTCAGGGTTTTGTTTTTATGAGCCTATTCTTTGAAATGTCACTGTTTATCAGTCAAGACTTTGATTCTGAGATGTAAAGCAAATGTGAATATATAACCTTCCCTAACACATCTCTTCCCTTTCTCTTCTCAAGAACAGTCCTGCTGGCTTAACTGCACAGATGGTACCAAGGGCTTAATTTCAAGACACAAGAGATAGCACAGGTATCACTGAGAGCAAAATTCAGCTTGCAGTACTTAGTGAAAGAGAAAGGACTAGTTGATTCTCAAGGTCCAGGGAGAATAAGATACAGTTAACAATAGATTCATCTTGGATTCAGGTAAATACAATAATGCTTATTGTTTAGGCAATTTAACCTGCTTTTTTCTGCAAATATGGTTTTCTAAACCATAGCACAACATATTGTCCATAATCTAGATGAAAACAAAGTGAGCTATTTTAATTGTTTTGCACTGTTGCAATGTAAAAAAGCTTTTTACTATAAAAAGTAGCTAAGTTTTCTAAATGGTCCAACCCATGCATGTTTTTATGTTGAAATTACAAGTGCAGTTCAGCACATGGTATTGTAACTAGTGAATATGAATTCAGTGAAGGCTTGCAATAGTGATGATTTGCCATATGACGCATTTGCTGATCTAGTTGTGATAAAAGAGTTAAATATAAGCCCTTACAATGCATTTTGTTGGACTCTTGGAAGTCTTCATCTTCTTTGTCTATGTTGTCAGGATTTATTATAAACATCAAAATATTTTCATCCAAGTACCAGCTCAGATTCTCATCAAATACTGTAGCAAGTAGGATGAACTCCTTGTCTACATTTTTCTGTGGAGAAGAACCAATACAAAATAAAAAAAAGACTACTGTCCCAATTAAGTTTATTCAGTTAAGGTCCTATGTGCATGCAGGTTTTATGAATATAACTTCCCATAAAGATCTGAAAGCTTTCTGCTTGCATTACCTAGTGTAGGGCCATACAGCCTAGCTGTCCACTGTGGACATAAAGGTACCTCCTCTAGAAATGAACATCCCTCATGATCTGTACCATTCACATCACTGACCCTTCTTCTGCGGCTTGCCAGCTAGGGTTCCAAGTCAGGGAGTATCCCAGCGGCAGGTCTGTGCTACCTGAGTGGGATTTGAACCAGTGATTTTAGCCCATACCATGTTCCACCGAGTATCTCTTCCCCTGCAATAGTATTCTTTACCTCGGCAGGCTCTCAATGGCACAGTTCAGGAAGTGAAAGCAGATTGGATTAACATTATATGAACACTTAAATTTTTTCCTCTCTGACTGACCTGTTTCCCAGAGGGGAGCAGAGATCCTTTTCTGCAGACTAAGAGAGGGCCCACAAGGCCAGCATTGGTGTCTTTGACTGCATCAGTAGCTGAATAATAGAGCCAGGTAATACAGTCTGGATCTTCCTGGGTGGGACCTGCATCTTGTGGCACCTTCCATTCGTATGTAAATGTAGCGCCAGGACTCACATGTGAGGCAGGAGCTTCAGTGCCTATTATAAAAAATCAAAATTAATAGTCAAGACAATTGATGCTTGATCTTAAGCAGGGATTATTTTTATCATCTTATGTGTATTGAGATAACACTATTGCTTCATACACAGAGGATGCAGGAAAAGCTGAAGTACTGAATGCATTTTTCACCTCAGTTTCACAGGTAAGGTCAGCTCCCAGACTACTGCGCCAAGCAGCATAGTTTGAGGAGGAGGTACGCAGCCAACAATGGTGAAAGAATAGGTTAGGGACTTTTTAGAAAATCTGGACGTATACAAGTCCATGGGGCCAGACAGGATGCACCCCAGGATGCTGAGGGAGTTGGCTGATGTGATTGCAGAGCCGCTGGCCATCATCTTTGAAAACTCACGGTGATTGGGAGAGGTCCCAGATGACTGGAAAAAGGCAAACTTGGTGCGCATATTTTAAAAAGTTAAAAAGGAGGATCTAGGGAACTAGGGCGTTTATAGACAACACTTTAAAGCAGATTTAAAGCAGATTAAATGCTTTTTGCACCACTTTAATGGCATTGCTGTTTACACATTTGGAGGTATATTGCGGGTTCATTCCAGCCACTGCAGGACATTAGGTGGCATAATGCAACTTAAATGACTTTGGGATGCAGCAAATGACTTTGGGGCACTGCAAAGTAAAACACCTCTGAGGAGTTTTAATTTCCTGCCCTACAGCCACGGAGGGAAGCAGCGGGCTCCGTGTGGCTCAGGGGCTGTGCAGGCAGACAATGCAGGCAGCCCGGCAGCAGCCCAGGGGAAGGCAGGCTCCACAGAAGGAAACAAAAAAAAAAGTGGTGAGCCTGATCCCCCGCCCAGAGCCTGCCTGCCTGCCTGAGCTGTGCAGGGGCCCGGTGCTTCCCTCTGCGGCTTTGATGCCCCCGGGACCACCTGAACCGGCTGCCACCGGGGGGGGCGGAGGCTGTCACTGCTACGGAGGGAAGCACCAGCCCCCCCTGCAGCTCAGGGACCGCTCTGCCCTCCAGCAGCTCACTCTCCCCTCTCCACTGCTGAAGAGGCAGGTAAGGATCAGGCTCTGACACAGGTGTACACAACACAGGGGTTTACTTCACCTAAATTAAAGTGGTATTTTTAAAAAATCACTGCTTCAATTTAGGGAGAATTAAACCCCCATGTCATGTACACATGCCCTCACAGACCAGTCAGCTTCACCTCAGTCACTGGAAGAATCATGGAGCAGATCCTCAAGGACTCCATTTCTAAGAACTTGGAAGAGAAAAAGGTGATTAGGAACAGCCAGCATGGATTCACCAAGGGCAGGTCATGGCTGACCAACCTGATCGCCTTCTATGACGAGATGACTGGCACTGCGGACACAGGGAAACCAGTGAATGTGGTACAACTTGATTTTAGCAAGGCTTTTGATACAGTCTCCCACAACATTATCGCAGGCAAGTTAAGGAAGTATGGGCTGGATGAATGGACTGTAAGGTAGGTAGTGAAGTGGCTGGATCATCGGGCTCAGAGGGTAATAAGTCAATGGTGCAATGTCTAGTTGGCAGCCAGTATCAAGTGGAGTACCCTAGGGGTCAGTCCTGGGGCTGGTTTTGTTATCGTCATCAATGATCTGGAAGATTGCATAGAGTACACCCTCAGCAAGCTTGCAGATGACACCAAGTGGGGGAGTAGTAGATACTCCAGAAAATAGAGTTAGGATTCAGAGAGACCTAGACAAATTGGAGGATTGGACCTTAAGAAATTTTATCCAGTTCAGTAAGGACAACTGCAAAGTCCTGCACTTAGGACAGAACAATCCCATGCACCGGTACAGGTTGGGGGCTGACTGGCTGGGCAGCAGCTCTGCAGAAAAGGACCTGGGAGTTACAGTGGACAATAAGCTGAATATGAGCCAGCAATGTGCCCTTGTTGCCAAGAAGGCTAACGGCGTACTGGGCTGCACTGGTAGGAGTGTTGCCATCAGATCAAGGGATGTGATTCTTCCCCTTTATTCAGCACTGGTGAGGCTACACGTGGAGTATTGTGTCCAGTGTTGGGCCTCCCACTACAGAAAGGACGTGGATAAACTGGAGACAGTTCAGCAGAGAGCAACAAAAATGATTAGAAGGCTGGGACACATGATGACTTATGAGAAGAGGCTGAGGGAACTGGGCTTATTTAGTCTGGAGAAGAGAAGACTGAGGGGGAATTTAATAGCAGCCTTCAACTACCTGAAGGGTGGCTCTAAAGAGGATGGAGCTGAATGGTTCTCAGTGGTGGCAGAAAACAGAACAAGGAGCAATCGTCTCAAGTTGCAGCAAGGGAAGTTTAGGTTAGATTAGGAAGAACTTTCCCCCCAGGAGGGTAGTAAAGCACTGGACAAAGTTACCCAAGGAAGTTATAGACTCTCCATCCTTGGAGGTTTTTAAGACCCAGCTACACAAAGCTAGGATGATCTATCCTGCTTTGGGGATGGTCCTGCTTTGAGCAGGGGGTTGGACCTCCTGAGGTCCCTTCTAACCTTAATTCTCTATGATTCATTATTCTCCATTGGAGATGGTAGAAATCTCCTAGCCTCCAAACTCACCTCCAGAGATGGTATTGTAGAATGCTCCCTCATTTTGTTTGCTGTAGGTCACACCATGGGACTGGATGCTGAATGGGTGGCTGCCATTGTTGCGGAAGGTCACTCTGATGATGTCACCCACTTCCGCTCTGATGACTGGTCCTAATAAAGAGTAAAGGTGTTAATAACCACACTGTGTTGATTGAAGTGGAGCATAAAACAAAAAGGCTTGGCATAGGGTTCATAGTAACATCCTGCTTTTTTCCTTGTGTCTTTTGACAAAACATACTTTACCACTTGAATGAGGTAAAAGTGGTGTTACAGCAGAACAGGGCAGGAGGCCTGAAGCAGTGCCTGTTCACTGAAGTCCAGTAGGAGCAGCTGGACTCCAGCACTCCTTAAAGGAGAAGCTAAGCTAAAGGGAGGATTGTGGAGAGGGCACTCTGGGGCTACTGGGAAAGGCTGGGAAGTTAGATGCTAGAAAGGTTGTGGAAGCAACTGTAGCAACTGGAAGAAATAGGAAACAATTGCTTTGGACTCTTTTTTCCTCCCAGAAGGTACAATTTGTTTTTCTTCCTAGGCACAACATATACAACCCTTTATCATTAATTTTCCACTAGTCATGACCCATTCAGTGCCAGGCTGCATCCTCTACTTCCACCCCCTTCCCTGTCTGTTAGCTAGAAAGCTTCGCTGCTGGAGCACAAACACCAGCTCCAGAGCTCTCTCCTCACTGGACCACCCTTTTCACTATAGCCACTACTTACCCTCCTCCATCTCATTCTCTTTTGCCCTTTACCAGTGGCAGATCCCAAATACCACTTCTTCACTGGCTCATACAACATGTTGACATGGCCCTTTCAATACCAGAACATTTCCACTCTGTTTCCCATAGGAAGGCAGTGAACTGATAAACTCTACCAAATACATCCAAGGAACTAATAAATGGGACAAACTCTTACAGGACTTTGACTTTAAACAGTCTGAAACAGTCTTACCTAGAAGCCCAAGATGTTCCTCCTCAGGGAGTCTATTTTTACGCTTTGTGAAGGTGTTGTCTGTGTATTCATTGTAAACTGCTTTCTTGTAAGAGCCACCAATTCTTTTGTCACCTTGCTCAAAAAATGTCTGAGACTCTCTGTGTGGATGAAATTGTGATAGAAATAGACATTTTGAATAATAGCATCTAGCTCCCCTATAGCATTGTTCATCAGTAGATCATGCAGTGCTTTACAAAAGTTGCTAGTATGTCATCTCCATGTTAAGAGGTAGAAACTGAGCTCCACAGTGAAGGACCTGCCAAAAGTCACTCAGTGGGCTGATGGCAGAAGTCTCCTGAGTCTTAGCTCACTGGTCTATCCCTGAGCTCATTTTAGAGTCAGATACAGCAATATCAGGAAGATGCAGAAGGAACCTTCAGTCCCATAATTTGTTTCCACAAAGTTTTTCTTATTCTTTTAAAAAATCCTGCACTGTTGCCCTTATATACAGTACATTAGGAGACCCACCATAAATGATTTCTCGTCAGTGCTTTTATTCCACTTTTTGAAAATGTTTTGTTATGGGTCACATATGAAACAAACATAAAAACCATAAATAAGTCACAGTTTAAGATAGTTAAACCTATACAGATTTACTTTGCAATTTTCATTGTATTTTAATTCAAGGATCTTGCAGCATTTTGAAAACAGTTAATTAAAATAATTAATTATGTATCATCTTGTGTAAATAAAGAAAGTAACACAATGCCTTGCTGAGATGTTAGATATTTAAATACAAAAATGACAAACTTCAGCTGGTCAGTACTGTTTGCTGACTTCATTGGAGCTAAAACAATTTATGCCAGCTGAAAATCTGTTCCCTAATTCTTAGTTCTTTAACCTGCCTGGGTCAATCATCACTCTTTATTCTTCAAGGGACCCAGAATGTTGTTCTACCATGTACAAACATTTCTTCATTCTAGTATAATTACTAATGCTACAATGAAACTTAACAGAAAGGCTCCAACAAATAACAGGCATAACTGCTGTGGATTGTATCTTGTAGTGTTAAAGCAGTGCTGAAAACAACAAGGAATTCTACTTAAAAAGCAAGGGCACCTCATTTCTATATATGTATTTAGTATTTCAGACCACTTCCACTTAGCAAATACTTTTTGTTCACTTTCAGGCCAATACTCAATAGCTCCTTACTTTCAAGATACAAGATATTTACCCATCAGTAACTAATTCCTGTCCTGTAAAATTATTTATTGCAGTTGGGCCATAGTTCCAGATAATTTCCTCAGCGGCAATGTAGTAATGTCTTGTGTTTGTAGACTCATTCTGATCAATTGTGGGTTTTTTACAGTCTTTTACTTCAAAAATGGCCTGCATGCCACCTGAACACACACAAGCACAAAAAAGAAAGAGAAAAAAGATAAAACCACAGGGGGAAGACTGGTTTTGTTTTCTTTCCCCTGTTACTGTCAGGTTTTTTTCATGGAAAAAACAGATGATCTGCAAGATGCACAGATCAAAGACTAAAACAAACTACCCAAAATAACACACCCAGGTCACTAGTTAGGATGTGGTATGCATTATACACACTGGAGGCTGACAGGAACAGCAGGAGTAAAAAAAGATGTTTTGTTGTGAAGATACAATTCATATTACAATCCCAAATTAGATTAGGAGGAAGTGAAAACAGCCTCCAGACTGTCTAGGCCCCATGTTATTAGGCTGGCTCTGCTTTCACTCAGACTCTGATCAGTAATTCATCTGTGAAATTATTATGCTTTGCCTACCCTAGAAAGGGTTGGGCTAGCCTGGCAAATCCTTTTAGAAGAGACATAATTAATCCAGTGCTCTGAATAAAATAAGCTATTTAAGCAAAAGGATGTTTGTGCCAGTATAACGGCATAGACAGTAGAGCTTTTGTTAGCTTATAGCAGTGCTGATTAGATGTAGGATTTCTCCTGCCACTCCTAACATACATAACAACACACTTTCAAATGTAGACCAGGTCTTAGGTAGAAGAGAAGTGGAGACTGCTGTGTGTCATCTTCACTATTGTATAAAGTACATCTGTAATAATATATTTAGCACCTAAGAAGGCAAACTCTGTCAGGCAGGAGTCAGGAACCTGTGGGCCAGATCGAGCCCACCAAGCAGCTACATCCAGCCAGTGGAGACAAGACCATTCTGCAGCAGGTAGAAGCAGGGCAATAGCATTTCTCTGCACTTGAACCAGTGCAGCGCTGCCTGCTGCCTCCCCAGCTGTCTCTGTTTTCTTGTGCCTCTTGCTGCATCTGCTGTTCCTCCTGCCACTGAATTTGTAGCTGGTCATAGTTGGAGTGATAGAAATTGGATGCACAGGGTAATGGGAGGCAATGGCAGTAGTAGGGGGCCACATAGCAGCCATTGGCACAGAGCAGGGAGGGCTGGGTAGGCAGCAGACCAGGGTAGCACCCAGGTCACAAGTAGTGGCAAACCTTCAGACCCAGCTGCCTTATTTTGGTTGGTGACTCCTTAAAGGTTGCCAACGCCTGCAGTAAGGACTATGTTCAGGCACAACTAGGTCAAAATCTGGTTAGGGTCTTGTATCTGCTTCTTTTGTTTATATGGGTTTTTTAAGTTGTTTTGTAACATCACTATGACAGGACAAATAATAGAACTATTTTAGCTATTCTTTGGTGTTCCTTCAGGGTCCAGAAGATGTTTTTAGACATAGTGACTTATTTCTCACCTTCTATATGGTCATTGACCTGGCAGCTAAGCATCCATTCTCCAGGGTTTTTTGGTATCATGAGAGCATCAACAAATGTAGCAGGGAAGAGGCTCACAGAGTCAATGTGGTGATTCTTCTCTGTCAATATCTGTCCATGGAAATAAGCTGAGTGGATATCAGCTTCATTACCCATGCCAAAAAGGTGCCACTTCACCCTATCTCCTGCACACATGGTGAGATTGGGAAGGTACCCATACATGTATCCATTGATTGCTAAAAGATAAAAAAAAGCATAACATATTGTTGTCATGTAGTTCATAGATTTCTGTGCAGAAGCTGGCTATTCTGATAACCATATAAAACAGAGAAGTGATTTTTAATTATGAAACAAGCTGTAGCACAATTCTATATCTGAGCTTGAAAGTAGGTTAAAATTTTCCAAAATCTGAACCCATATTTGATATTTTTTTTACAGATAGTTCTTTTGGGCAGTAGTCTTTTCTGTGATTTATATGCTTGATACTAGATTTGAGGGATATCCTATGTATTGACACTGTACAGCGTAGACTGTTTTGTTAGTCTGGGAGAGCATAGCACAGTGATCCAAAGAAAAAATCTATGTACAGAGGACTGGGAAGCCATGCACAGACTTGGTTGCAGTTTTAGGCTCTTTGGTCAGTCAGTACCTCTACATACTTTGTGTCCATGATTGCATGGTTTTGATTTTTCTGCAGTTCTACCAAACACACACCCTTTTATTTCTTATATTAATAAGTTCTGCCCTGACCCAGGTCTCTCCTGAAGTCAGTAGCAAAACTTTCAGTTGACCTCAGTGAGAACAGGAAGAGGCCCTAAACCTTCACTTGAAATCTGCTTTTAAATAAGTGCTCAAAACGTAAAATGCTGTAATAAAACATCAGTCAGGGGTGAAATGTAGGGGGTGCACGTGCAGTCCCTGAGAGCGCCGGTGCCCACCCTGTCAGGCCATGCTCCCTGTTTAGTCAGCAGGCGGGGGGCAGGCGGGAGCACCAGTGCTCCCCCTGTGAGCACCAGCTGGGGAGTGGGGCCGCCAGCAAAAGCGGCTGCACTGCTTCCGGAAGTGGCCATGGGAGTGGCATGGCTGCTTTTACAGTGAGTGAGATCAGCCGCAGGGGACCCCCTCCCCCTGATTACTGACTGGTGTCAGGGGGGGCATGTGCCCCCCCCCCCCCGACTCAAGAGGCACCAGACACCCATGACATCAGTCATTTTGAAAGGTGAAATAAGGCTACCACAAACAGGAATGTTAATGTGATACAGCAGTGATGAGCAACTCTAAAAAGTTCTCTTACAATGCATTTTATTACTCTCCTGAAAGTCTTCATTTTCCTTGTCAACTCTGGCAGGTTCAGAACAATATGTCTTGATATTGTCATCCAGATACCAGCTGAGATTTTCATCCATCACAGAGAACATAACAGTAAATTCAGCATCAATTTGATTATCACGTCCCCCATCCAGTGTCCCTGCAATAAAGAGCACCATTTTCATAGACTGGAGGAATTCTCTTTTTCTGCAATATTATATCTAAGAGTCATTCAGCTGATTTTGTTGGTTACCTTTTGAATTTTATGCGGTTTGCCTATATGCCTCTTAGATTTTTCATCCTATAGATTGAACCCAGATTAGATTAATACAGATTAATACTACAGGAAACATCTTTCACCATATTTTGTTGAACAAAATGAAAATTACATATGAGTTGCTGATTAGTGTGTACTTATATTAAATGTAGCATAAAAGTGTTCAATTACACCACAGCACTTTACAAATCATATATGCTAATCCAGGTATAAACATTCATACCATATGCAAGGCAGCTAACTTAAGGAGATAATGGACACTATTTAAAAGCTAGTGGCAGCACTAAGCAGCAGCATCTAACTCAGGAAAACAAGAGTAGAATTTCAGTTCTCTATTTCCTTGCTTTATAGGCCTTCTACCATTTACCTTTCTTGCATGTTATCAGAGGTCCAACAAGCCCAGAGGCAACATCCTTTGGGGCATCTATATGTGAGTGATAAATCCTGGTAATACAATTATCATCTCCTTCAGCTGGACCATGATCTTCTGTCACATCCCATTGATAAGTATACTGTTCTCCAGGCTTCACAGTATCATCTTTCTTTAGCAAATCTTTGGTGTTGTCTGGATAAAAAGCACCTGGGAAAGGTATGATGCAAAGCAGTCAATATGAATGCGTTTCACTCATGATATAGCAAAGAATGATAGGCAACTAGTGGTGTTATGTGCACCTTAGGTAAACTGCTACAACTAACAGTTATCTTGGACTTGGCAGGATAAATAATATATATGAAACATAAGACATTGATATTGGACATCTGTCATTTCTTGAAGTTAACCAACTGCAACAGTAACACAGACCAACCCTTTGAATTTGCATAGACATGCTTTTTGAAACAGCAGATGGGTAGATCTTCCTCATTTGTTGTTTAAGGGCCAAAAACTCACCAGCTTCAGAGAATGAGGGTTTACTGCTGATGTCAGCAGGACCAAAGATTGTCCCCAAATTTATCAGGAAGGCAACATATTCAAGTCTTAGAAAAATAATTTCTCAAGTATTGTTTAATGTGTGTTGCATATATATCAATGCAGGTATTCTAAAATTCATATTTGTTTGGTCCCCTGACAACTTTACCTCAAGTAGAAAAGCAACATCTGAAACAAGATCACTTTGCTTCCATTTCTACTGCTCATATTGCTGCATAACTTGCTGTTGTCCTATGGGATATATCGATATTTCACACATCAGTTGTAGTGTGAAATTTCAACAAGTCTTAAAGTTATGGCTGAATGGTTAGTTAATATGTTTAAAAGAACTGCATGACAATGTCATGTTCACTAATAGCTTCCCACATCATTACACTAATAAGCCTTAAGAAAAGCTGTCTTGGGCCAGATTCTAGCTAAATCCTGCTCCTGTTGAGTAGTTCTTGTTCTTTGTGTAACTCCACTGAAGCAAATCAGACTTCCCCAGGACTGCTCAAATTAAGCAAGCAAGTAGCATCTAGCTGTCATCTTCTACAGTGTCATCATTAACATAATGATTAACATCATTTTCCAGTTGGTCTAATAAAAGGTATCATTTTGGAACCAAGAGTTCTAGTTTATTATATGTCTTTTTGTCTCAGACCAACACAGCTACCAAGTACACCCCTGAAACATGGAAGATGCCGAATTTCAGCCGATTTTGGATTTTAAACTTAATTGCAGAACAACAAGGATGTTTTTTTTGCCTCCCTGCCTACCATCTGACACCTTCAGGGAAGGAATTCTACCTGATCAACACATCAAAGAGCTACTCAACACAGCTCACAAAGACACTCTCATGGACCCAGAGGGACAGATTTCCATCTTCAGCTCCCTCTGTGCAAAAATGAAGTTTATTTCCGACCTATGGGGTCTTTTTACCATCTTGTACCATCTACCCTTTTCCCAGAGCCTGATGAAGGGACTTTGATTCCTGAAAGCTTGCAGAAAAGGACAATGTTCTTGCCATTTTCCAGTTGGTCTAATAAAAGGTATCATTTTGGAACCAAGAGTTCTAGTTTTTTACATATCATTAACATAATGCATTTTAGAAAGAGCTTTCTAAGGAGGAAGCCAGATTTAAGGACCAAGTATCTACCACTCCAAAGGGAATACAAATGAATTATCCAGCTGTGACCAACTTCCAGTAGGGGTCTACTGGGGGAAAGGAGAGAGGGGTACTGGTGGGGAATCTGAACACTAGCAAATTACACCAGAGTGAATGACCTATAAAGAAATTTAACCAGGGTTTGCTGTATTTCCTGGATGCAATGCATAGCTAAATCTAATAGTTGGCATTTGTTTGTGGTGAGCGTTTCTGTATCTTTAGTCACTAAAGTACTTTCCAAACATTATCTCATTTATAAATTCATTAACTAACTAACTCTGGAAAATTTGAGAAATGCTCAAAGAGAAGTGCAAAAGGAGGTTTAGGAGGTGTGCCCAAGATTTTTGTCTGAAACTCTGTGATGATATTCAGAAAGCAGCTGATGCAAGTGATAGCCATGGAATGTACAAGCAACTGGTCCAGGCAAGAAGAAAACAGCTCCACTGAAAGACTAAAATGGAAATGTCATCACTAATAAATAAAAACAACTTGAGCATTGGATTGAACAGTGTGGAACTCTGTACTCCAGTGGGACTGAAATCAAACACGAGGACCTTGAAGGATTACCACAGTTTGAACATATGATGGAGCTGGACATTGCATCTACTTTAGAACATTTGCAGAAAGCCATTAAATGGATCCCTGGGAACAAGCCATCTAGCAACAACTAC